AGTTTGCTTAATCTTTTCCTCACTGGGATACATCTGGGTTGTTTCTGGGTTAGTATTATAGTGGATAAAGCTACTATAAACATTTGTCTGCAAGTTTTTGTTTGGATCTAAGTCTTCACACCTTTAGGATAAATATCCAAGGGTGCAACTGTTCGATTATATGCTAGTTTTTCTTTTTAATGATACTGTCAACATGTTTTCTAGGGGGGTTGTGTTCTTTCATATTCCCATCAGCAATGTTAAGACGGATACAATTTCTCACCTCACAAGTATTTGGTTTCATTATTCATTACTAGATTACTATTATTATTATACCTCATAGGTGTCTAGTTATGTTATTATAGTTTTAATTTTTATTTCCCCAGTGGCTCATAATATTGTACATCTTTACATTTCCCCAATGGTTAATGATTTTGAGCATTTTTTCATGTGCCCCATTGCTTTTAGCTGCTAAATTTGTACAATTTGTTTTATAGCATAAAGACAAATACAGATAACGTCAGCATTCCATTTGCTTTCTGTGCCTCAGCTAATATGTTTTTCTTTCAAAATTATAATGATCCTTTTACTGGCTGTCAAGCTATATCTAACATAAAGGTCTATGCTCAAGCATTTCTTTACTTCCATCACCACCCCCATTCCTAATGCTTATACATTTTTCATTTTGTCAAATTCTAATCACCTTTCAGCACTCCGTAGCACTTAATCATTACTCATAAATGATTTTCTCCAGTTTTCCTAAATATATCAAACCAGTTCCCTTTCTCCAATATAGAAATTTCATTAGGACAGCAACTTTTGCTATTTCCTTACCACTTAATGTAAATCTGTATACAAAGAACTCAATGTAATTTTATTGGAACGATGAGTGATGCATGAATGATTTACTGAGTTAAATTTGAAATCCAGAGGATTTATTTCTGTCATTCTCCAAAAAAAAAAAAAAAAATTCTACTAGCAAGGTATACTCGATAGTTTTATAATTATTGTCACTCAAAACAAAATTAGTTTCTGGGGTTTTGTGTATTATGCCTAAACAGAATAGGAATAAAGCCGCTCATTTTTCTTCCATAGAAATGCTAGGAAGGAAACAATTAACTTACCTGGCCAGGCTTAGAATTTTCACAGACAACAATATCATATTTCCTGGCAAGTTCAGGTGGGTTGTCATTGACATCTAGAACTCTAATACCCACTGTGACACGGCTCAGCAAACCAGGATTGCCTGTAAAACACACAGGGATGCAGTTAGTATTTCCATGCACACTTTAAAGCATTGGCTTCAAACAAATCTCCTTAACACTGGAGCTTGTCACTAGATCCATATGCTCTAGCAGGACTCTTGGCAAAAGACAACTTTATGAAGGCACTCTTGCTGGAACTCATTAACTTAGAGAAAAATGAAAAATGAATACCAAAGCATGACATGAATGCTAAAATGCTATTTTGTCATATCAAGGAAATTACATGTTACTGAGGAACTGGAGTGGGAGAAAGGTGTCAGAACTCGTTGTATGCTGGCAGATATTAAGGGATGAACAATTGGGTTTCTTCATTAATGTACAAAAAGCATAGCAGCTGGAAAAAAAAAATCACTTAATCTTTACAAAGTTCAAGGTTTCAAATATAAATAAACTCAGAGAAAATAAAAAGTAAAGTTCTTTACACAAAGAACATTCGTGTTTTTATAGGAGAATATATGTCATGGGTGACTTCATGTCATATTTTGGGAGAAAAAAAGAACAATTTAAATTAGAGCATTACATGGCCTTCTTGTACGACTTTGACAGATATCAAAATAGCATATTCAGTACTTGAAAATTAGTCTTAAACTCTGTCTTTTCATTTTTCAATAATTTTATTAGTTCTGAGATACAGTGAGATAGGGAAATATCTGATACATTTCACATATCAAAGCTATTGTTGCAGAGTTCATAATGAGAATATTATTTCTTATTGCCATATTTCTGCCAACCTCTGAAAATTCTTTGAAATTTAGTTACAGCTCATTAGCATGTTGTTGTTAAGTGCCATGGAGTCAGTTCTGACTCATAGTGACCCTGGACAGGGTTTCCAAGGTTGTAAATCTTTACCGGAGCAGAAAGCCTCATCTTTTTCCCATGAAACAGTTGGTAGTTTTGAACTGCCAACTTTGGGGTTAGCAGCCCGTTTCGTAACCACTACGCTACCAGAGCTCCTTAGCATGTTAGTCTATAGATATTAAATATAAAAAAATCTATTGATATTAAATATAAACAAATTTATCAAATTACATGAGAAGTCAGAAACTAATCATATTAACACAAAGGGAGATTAAAAACCATGGAAAGAAGACACCAGGAATGCAAAAACAAAGGATGGATTTAATTTTTCCATAAGAGGCACTATAAATAGGATATATAGGCAGAACTATATAATCTGATTTACTTTAGGTAAAACAAAAATTATTTTCTCAAAAAGAAAAATTAATTAAGTTGAGAGAATTTTGCCTAAATTCAAAGACACTGGTCATTTTAACCAGCTATTTTTTCCAGTAATCAAAGGAAGAAAAAAAAATTCTGATTACACATAAATGTTCTCTAGAAAGTAAATGGATTAAAGGAGAGATAAAGAATGCATCACATTAATTTCAACACAAAGGGAACAATATTAAATAATATTCAAATCTGTACATGTTTCATAAACAGACAAACAAAAACAACTCTTTGCAAGCTGTGATTATAAATACTTCATAAACCATAATTTATTAATAATATTATCTGTGGCACTTTAGGATAAGCACAGGAATGGTAAACAAAATGTTAGCAGTGCAAACCTACCAGCCACTGCTCGGAAATTCTGTACAGGAACTGCCTCAATAACACAACGTTTTCATTAATTAATATTGCCGTGTACTCCTGTAAAAATTTACAGTCTCAGAAACTCAATATAGTGTTGCTATGAGAAGCAGACTCAGTGGAAGTAGATTGGGTTGGGTTGGAGATTTTGGCTTAATCACTGGTTTCAGGAACCGTAATTTACTACTGCTGTTGTTATGTGGTGCAAGTGGGTTCCAATACATAGCAATAATTAAGGGCTTCTGAAGGAACCGCCGACCTTGGGATAAACTCTCTGGTGCTTTACCACACCAGGACTTCAAATACTATCAACCCCCTGACTTGTAGGTGATTCTGACTCATGATGAGCATCTAGGACAGAGTAGAACTGCCCCAGAGGGTTTCCAAGGCTGTACATTTTTTTTCAGAAGCAAACTGCCACATGCCTCTTGCTGGTGGGTTAAAATCACCAACCTTCTGGTCGGAAGCCAAACATTTAACTTTTGTATGACCAGGGCTCCTTGAAGAAAATCAAATCTTTCAGGACAGAAATAGATGTTTGTTTGTTTTCCCATTTTGATCTAATCTTATATCTCTAATTTGCAATCAGTGACCCATAACAATGATTGAAAGCACAGTATTTGAGATTAGAATAACAAAAGTTGCATCTGTGGACCCATAGCAGTTCTATGTCCTGTGGAAAGGTGAATTTAGTGTAATTCTATAGAAGATATGGCCAAGCACATGTACTGTGTGTGTGCACTGCCACAGGAGTTACAGACAAAAAAATAATTATGAAACACAGCACTTCCCCCACCACTTTGCGTTTACTGTACCTCTAAGGGAACTGAACAACTGGAGACTGTGTACAACAAGCAGGATGGCATATAAAATCTATTATATGAAATTCATGTAATTAAAGCTAAAATCCACTCTAATTTTATAGCCACCTGAGGTCTACTTACATGAGTTCTGGTATTTTTGCATAATAATAAACTTTTTGTTATTGTTAAATGCCATTGAGTCAGTTCTGACACATAGGGAATCTGGATAGGATTTCAGAGGAGCAGCTGGTGAATTTGAACTGCAGACCTTGCAGTTCAAAATGACCTTACGGTCCACTGCATTATCCTGCAGTACCACACCAGGACTCCAAAAATAATAAAACTAGTTGATACAATATTTATAAATTCAATATTCCCTTCTATCTCTACTTCTTATTTTCCATATATTTGGGTTGATATTTTATCCCTTGTATATCAATTGCTCATACAATTTGAACAGTACCCCTATTCATTAAAAGGATTCTGTTATGGATAAGTTAGATCATGCTGCTACATTTCTTGGTACAATTTTTCTATAATTTTTATTAATACTTTTATTTTCATGGCTCATTCTACAAATTATTTTCAACCACATTTGCGGACAGAATACATGGATATACTAGAATAACACAAGCTTAAGTTATTGTTGATGTTAAGTGCCAACAAGTCTGTTCTAACCAGTAGTGACCCTATATAGGGCTTCCAAGGAGTGACTGGTGTACTTGAACCACTGACCTTATGGTTCAAACTGATTTTGAAATCCCATGCATTAATCCAAATTGCCACACCAGGATTTAAGTATATGACTCATATTCAATAATGAACTTTGAAAAGTTTTTTGCTGTTTCCTTGCTTTAAATATTTCATCTGTAAACTTGGAATAAGAGTTACTTGATTGTACAAACTGTGTTTTTGAGACTTGGCTAAGCTGGCTGTGTAAACTTCTCACCACTGAGGTAAGGACAGGGTAAACTGTACATGAATTTCAGTTACATTTACCGTGAGAAGAGTTACATGATTTCACTGTTCTATATTCCCTCAAGTCCAACAGAGTGGCACACACATACCAAATGTTTGAAAAATATAACTGCATAAAATGAATTGTTTCCAAACAAGTCACAGAAAATTCTCCAAATTACTGTAATACCAAGCTTACATTTGCATTGGAACATCATTTGCACTGAATCACTCTTAGAGCATTCTTGATGATAAAATGATAAAAAATACATCAATCTCATACTTCTTGTTGATGTTGATAGGTGCCATCAGTTGGTACTGACTCATAGTGACCCTATGCACAACAGAACAAAACACTGCCCAATCCTGGGACAACTTCACAATTGTTACCACGCTTGAGCCCATTGATGCTGCCACTTTACCAATCCATTACGCTGGGGGTATTCTGCTTTTTATCTGACCCTCCACCTTAACAAACATTGTATCTTTCCCCAGCAACTGGTCCCTCCTGACAATATGAACAAAATATGAGAGACAAAGTTTGGCCATTCTCACATCCAAGGAACACTCTGGCCGCACTTCTTCCAATACAGTTTTATTGGTTCTGTCAGCAGCCCAAGGCACTTTTAATATTCTCCTTCAACACCATAACTAAAAAGCATCAAATCTTTGACATTCTTCCTTATTCACTATCCAGCTTTCACATGCATATGAGGTTACTGAAAATACCATGGCTTGGGTTAAAGGACACCTTAGTACTCAAGCTGACTTCATTGCTCTTCAACACTTTAAAACAGTCTTATCCAGCAGATTTGCCTAATGCAATATATCATTTGATCTCTTGACTGCTGCATCCATGAGTATTGACGGTTGATCCCTGGAAGAATGAAGTCCTTGACAACGTCAATCTTTTCCGCATTAATAAGAATGTTATTTATTAGTCCAGTGGTGAGGTTTTTTGTTTTCTTTACATTGAGATGCAATCCATACCTAAGGCTGTGCTCTTTGATGTTCATCAGTAAATATTTTAATTTCTCTTCACTTTCAGCAAGCAAGGTTGTATCATGTGCATAGCGCAGGTTGTTAATGAATCTTCCTCCAATCCTGATGTCATGTTTTTCTTCATATAATCCAGCTTCTTGGATTATTTTCTCAGCATACAAATTGGATAAATATGGTGAAAGAATACAATGCTGTTTCACACCTCTCTTAATTTTAAACCATTGAGTGTTCCCATCTCCTGTTCAAACAACTACCTTTTTTTCCATGTACAGATTCTCTTGAGTACAATTAAGCGTTCCGGAATACTCATACTTCGCAATGTTGTGCTTAGCTTTTCATGATCCACAAAATCAAAAGCTATTGTATAGTCAATAAAGTACAGGTAAACATCTTTCTGATACTCTCTGCTTTCAGCCAAGATGTCTTGGATATCAGCAATGATATCCCTCATTCCACATCCTCTTCTGAATCCAGCTTGAACCTCTGGAAGTTCTCTGTCAATGTAACCTTAAGGCAATTTCTATATTATCTTTAGTAAAACTTTAATAGCATGGGATATCAAAGATATTGTCTGATTATTTCCACATTCCATTGG